GCACATCGTCTGTGGATCTTCGTTGTCTTCACAAATTTTGAAGGGTTGTAAATTCAGAATGAAATTGGGCGAGGGTAGGAGAAGGGTATTCGTATTTCAGAAAAATGAGGTTTTGTCTTTTAGATAGGAAAACATGTGAGGAAGATGGGCAAAATCGAAAAAATCAACATGCCATTCCAGAATTTCGGGCAAGAAATTGTCTAATCACAGTGCCTGAAAATAAGGGGAGCAGGAAAGACCAAACTTTTTCAAAAAGGGGCAAGAAATTGTCTAATCGCTATTCATGAAATAATGGGGAGCAGGAAAAATCGACCTTTTCAAATGGCATTTGTGTAATTACACGAAACTGTGATATGAGCAAGGGCATCATTTGTAAAAAGAATGGACATTCAGGGGTATTTTGGTCCCAAAAAGCCACATGTCAAGCCTACAATCTCTCTCACTTGTTGGCTTATATGTAGAGTAGAGATAAGGGAGATATGTATACACATATATATATATTCAGATTTTCCTCTCATACGTAAAAGTAGGAAACAAAAAAAACGATTTCATTTTTAACACTTTCATAAAAAAGTTAATAATGAAAATCTCTACCGTGAAGTTTTATTTTTTAAATAAATAAGTTGGATACATTTTTTTTTTTTAAAAAATCATTTTCAAAAAATAAGCTTAACCAAAAATTACTTTTCCAACAGTCTCTTTCAATTAGTATCGATTATTATATTATTAAAATGAGCGACTTCTTCGACTCATTTTAATTGAAATAACAATGTCATTTTCTACATGTATTTAAAAATTTAAAATAAAAACTCCCACTATAATTATTTAAAAAAAAAAAGATTAATCACGTAATTAACCTTACATGATTTTACAGAAACTATAAACAACTCTTAAACAATTTGATTTTTGCTGATCCTTTAACTAAAATGGATTAGGAGTTTGGACCATCATTTGTTCACTCAACCTCGCCTTTAAGGTATTTTTAACTGTCGCAGTTGAGATGAATAATTCCTAAAGTAATACTCCACTTATTAGTTTACCCTTTGACTTACCAACCAACTAAAACAAAATATTATTATAATTTTTGCTCATAAAAGAAGCAATTGCACGGACTGAACAAAAGCAAGGATAAAAAGAATCGTGTTGGGCAAAACTTTTTCCGTTTAAGTTTG